CACTTCCTGATTCCAGCAGGCAGAGTGTTAACAAAAATCTTGCAAAACTGACAAGGCTATTGCAAAAGCTGCCAACACTTCTACAGATATATTCATATTACAAACATGACATGCACAACATTCCTCTCATTAAATAAGCTAAATTTTGAGTAGGCTGCAGTGGCTGAGCCACCTTCCCTTTTCTTCTCATGATCTCATCTGAGCAGTACCTTAAAGGAGATCACATGGGAATATACTGCTGACCATGCTGTGCTGTATTAGCAATGAGGGCTTTGCTCTTGGAAGTTGTTCATCCAGCCTCAGTAGCATATATTAAAAAGAAATTTTGACAAAATAGAATAGGGAAATCTGACATAGTGGATAATGTCTAGCCTGACTTAGTTTCCATGCTCTGCTTGGTGCTGCTCAGTGGGTGTCCTCACACCACTTGTACCTGCCAGCATGCAGAGACACAAGGAGTAAACTGCCACCCTCATGTCTAAGCACTGCTGCTGTGTGCTAGGCGTGCTCACAGCCCTCCCCTCAGGCTGTGCCACAAGACTAGGGCTTTCAGAAGCTTTGCTTGGAGCTAAGCCTGCAGAGATGTGCAAAGGCTATCCCCACATTACTCTAATGTCCCTCTGTAAACACACTGCTGCCTTGCTATTGCTTAATTACCATCTGTTACCTCTACTGGCCAGTCAGAACAACTGCACATGCTCTTTTTATGCTTTGATCTAATGTAAATGGCTTTGATCTAATTATCAAAAAGTTTCCCATCTGTGCTTGGCAAGGAGGAATGAGAGCGTAGAGGTGGCTGAAGTAACTTGGCCAATGATGGACAAAGCTGGTTGCTGAGATTAGGCAGGATTTCATGGTGTTAGAGACTGCATCTAATTGGCTCCATTGAGACAAGAAAGTAGGTTGTGAAAACTTAACCCTAAATTATCTCTTCCTTTTTCTGATTGATTTCACCCTTCATAAAATTCTGTGCATAGAACACCTTTGCTTGCCTGCATGGCTACCTTGGCTCCCCGACATGTCCTGCCATCCTGCTGCCCCTAGGTCTTCTTTGCTTCTGGATGAATGAGGCTCAGGGGAGTGAATTACAAAGCAGTCAGGTTCTTGTGAACTTTCACAACCAACAGGCTTCAAGAATGAAGAGAGACAGCAATTCCACAACAATTCAAATATAACTCGCAAGATTTCTCAGAAAAAAAAAAAAAGAAGCATTACATCAGTATATGGCCTTAAAGCATACTTCTATTGAAGGGCCTCTTTGGCACACACATTCATGACTCTGTGTGAAAGCAACATTATGGTCACTATCTGCACCAAGTGGTCTATCATACAAAGATACTTTCTTCAAGCTCTCAGTATATGTTACTCCAACATGTCAACAGCACCACTCACAGTTCCTTTAAAAGTCCAGTTCTTTTCTTTTGAATAGTCGTGCAGTGTCACTGGTATGATGCCAGTGGCACGATTTCTGACTGTACACACATAAAGGGGAAAGAGAATCAGGACCTGAGGTTATGATCTGCTAACTGAGAATTCGAATAATGGAAATTACAGCTGAGGGTAAGAATCAGCTAAGGAAATGGTGCTCAGATCTTGAGTTACGTGAGGCTAAGGCTCTGTTTAGGTATGAAGCAGAAGTAAGGAATGACTCTCAGAACTGAAAGCATCCAAAGTGGTTGAGATTTTAGCATAGTTTGAGAGGTAACTTTCAGAGTTCATCTTTAAATGGAAGAAATCTTGTGGAAGCTTCTTTCTGAAAGATTTCTACTATGCTATAACGTATCTGAGCAAGAAGTAAGGGAACCCTCCAGTCAAGAAATAAAACCAGGCATCCAAGACTTAGAACACTGATGGGTTTCTCAGTCTTCTGATTAACCACATATCATCTGCTGTTGACTCACTACAAGAAAAAAAAATTAAAAATAAGAAAGAAAGAAAGAAAAAACAAGGAGAGAAAGAAGGAAAGAAGGAAAGAAAGGGGAAAAAAAAGCTGAGACAAGACCTTTGCCTTTCTGTCTCTGAAGGAAGAACAGCCAAAGACAAAGAACCAAGCAGAAATTTTTAAAATCCAGTCTATTTGTTCTCCTATTTTATGATTTTGAGAGCTACTTCATGAAACAGGTGAAAAATCCCTATGAAAAAAAATGGAAAGACATTTCATTTTTTTGATCCTCCTGCCTAGAGGGTTCTCTGGGGATTTCCATTAAAATAAAAATAAAAATCACAATTAAACCCGTGCTTCCCCTCAAAAAATGAAACTTCCCTAAATATTCATGAAAATGTCAACAAGGCACATCTGATAAAGGGAAAGGGAAGAGCTAAACAATGGTGCTAGGACACACCCCTTGCATCGTCATTACAACACTGGGGAAAACCTCTTTGGATACAACTTGGAAAGTAAAATGGAACGAGTGGCTTTTTACATAAAGTTGAGGAGAATAAAAATTGCTGTTTGAGGGTGCATGTAGTAAAAATAAGGCATGGACATCACTGTAGAGATGGCACAGATCCATCTTGTCACTGAGGCTGATTCCTCCTTTTAGGAAGAGTGGAAGAACTGAAGACCCTTTAACTTTCTGAAACTAAAGATGGGATGCCTGGAAAAACCCTGCCAGTATGCAGAGAACTTCATGTCATACACCTGGCATATTTTACACACTCTCAGGAAATGTAATGCTGTTTTTGCAATAAATATGCGTCACAGACCAAGATAACATCTTTGGTCTGCAGTTAATCTCCACGTACACACGGACATCTCCTACCCTCACATTTGCAGCATACTATAAAAGAGTGAAGTGCAATTTATTAAACTAAGGCAATTCAAATGCATCAGGGTATTAGCAGGGAAGCTCAGGTGCTACTTTATATTATTTTAAAGCATTCTGAAAACATATAATTTTATTTTTTCAGCAAGTTAAAAAAAACTTGGATTTATGCAGAAATAATACATCAAAGCTAATATATTAGGTTACCCCAAGACAATGAAGGTTTATTATCTCTCCTTGCACCAAATATAGCCCTTTGGCTATACAAACAGGAATCTGTTCTGTTTCCTCTAAGCTCAAAAGCCAGGCTACTTACCTGAAATGAGAAAGGAAGCAAAAGCATGATTATTTGCTTGCCCAAAGTGCTCTTGTCAAAGTGGTACAGTATGGAGAACTGTAGGCTTTCTAAAGCTTGACACTAACAGAATTCAAGATAAAAAGAACATGAATGCACCAGCCTCATGGCTGCAGTGATTACTGCACATGTGATACCAGTTATCCTGCTCTTAGGAGAGCTAATTTTTAATTTCCTTATTCCACTTGCTTTGCAACTTATATGAAAGAGGTGGAAACTTATTTTCATATTGTTTCTATCAAAAAGCTGTGTCTTTGAACACATGCTTTGTGTTAAGCTAGTGATAAATTATAAATAGCAAGCAAGCAAGTTTGAAAAACAGCACAGAAGTCCTTCTAGCAAGGCTTGCTCACAGTGAAATCCTTAAGCTATGCTTCACTCAAAGAAATCAGCTATTATGGCACAAAATATAAGTCAAGCAGGAACATTTCTATATATGACATTTTTAGGATGGCAGGATTCAATTTTTCAACTTTTATCCCCAAAGGAAAAGCAATTCTCCACCATAAAAAAACCTAAGCCCTAGCTTCACTTCAAAATAAGGAAATAAAATAAAGTTTTCACATCCTGCAGCTAACTCTTGTCCCTGCTGGGCGCTGAAGTTGTGGCAAAAGATCTGAGGCTTTCAACCTCATTCAGAAGCATTGGACACGTGTGGCACCTCTGCAAGGGCATGCTCCAAGGTGAACACACATGAGAGAGAAAGCTCAGTAGGCAGCTGTGCTCTGTGCAGGAGCAATGATGTGGCAATCTGTGGCCTATCACAGAATCATAGGGTCATTGAGTTTGGAAAAGGTCACTAAGATCATCTAGTCCTACTATCAACCCATCATCCAACTAAATGATGTCTCTCAGCAGTGCATCTACCCTTTCAGTGAACACCTTCAGGGGTAGCAACTCCAACTCCAACACCTCCCTGGGCAGCCTATGCCAATACTCCACCAAATCAGAGTGGTTCCAGAGATACAGTTGTCCCTCTGGCTTCATCATCTCTTTATCATGCAGAGGTACATATAGAGAAATGTATGAGAAAGAAAAAGGTCACTCGAGCAAGTGGGAATGGGGAAGAAGTAACCCAAAGCATTGTAGAACACATACCCCAGGGTGCCAGCTATGAACCCAGAACTCAGTGGCAGAGTATTTGAATGTTTTCCTACAAATTAACAATGTAAGCCATTGTGATGAACTCCTCCAAAATAAAATTCTTGTGTTTACAAATACTTCTTGGAAAGTGGAAAACACGTGTTTGCACAGCCACTTCCACCAAGGGCTGCATCAGCTGTGCCTGCCTGTGACCTGGATTCATCCTTGCTTGCTCATGGCAAACGTGGCTGTCCCATTGGGAACAGCACTGCTACTTCCAGGTCCAAGACCCAAGACACATCCCAGAAAGAGTGAGTCATTGAGAACTGTTCAAGAGAAACAGTTTAAGAGCGGCCTACTGTTACAGAGAACTGTATGAGGTGTGTGAAAAGCGAAAGTAGCAAATGTTGGACAGCTGGCAGTCAATAATCGGGTGGCAGAAATAGAGATAGTGGCTGAGTTCACAGGGCTCGGTCTGTCAGAGCCTTACACTGTGCTCAGGAATTCCATCTGGTGAAAGGCAGCTCCTTGTTGGATCAAAGCACTGGCCTGCTCACTTGGGAGTGCTTTACTTTCCTGTCACATATCTGTAAATGATAACACAAGGTGCAGAACTGCAGGGGAGCTGAGGCAAAGCGACTCCAGGAAATAGTAAGCAAACTACTCTGTGGAATCAAGATCTGCTGCCTGTCACAGCAACAAGCTGAGCACTGCAAGTGAGACTACATAAATACTGGTGTTCACAAGAGGATACTGTGTAATAACCAGAGAGAGAGAAAAGGCTGTGAAGAACTTACTTGACTTTTCTTCTTTAATGTTGTACTCCAGCACACCAGGAGCATCACTTTGAACAGGCACGCGGACCGCAAGGACCATGTTGTTTGCGTTACTGTCTTTCCTAACCAAGAACATCTGAAAAGGGGGAAAAGAAATCAAGCTTAGCTATATTAAATGTGCTTCTGAACATTATTTAAGGTCATTGACAAAGAAATTCTTTATCAGTTCAATCTGTTTTTGAATGGTCTTAGTTTTGTTCTTCTTGGTCAAGCTTTACATTACAAAAAATAACATCTAAAGGGACATTTAGAAGAAATTCAGAGCTGCCAAGGAACCAGCAAAATTTCTATGCATCACCAATGCCCTACTTAAGCCCAAAGCAAACTCTTTCACCAATGGAACAATATAAAGCTGCACTCCCAATTTGTCAAGTGATGCTCCTCATGTAAGTGCCCTAAACCACAAAGAATTCCTAGAATGTCCCGATTGATGTCCAAGCAAGGAAGTCAATTGTACATTGAGAGGGAAAGGATTTAATTGTGGAACCCAAGGCCAAAGGTTCTGGTAAGAACAGTGTCCCATAGCAGAGTTTTAGCACAGGTACAGAAGATCATCCCAGCTGGCATGGGCCCCAGGGGGGTTCTTGTCCAGTCCTCTGGGTGAAGCTATGAGGCCAAACCAAGCTGCTTAAGTTTTCCCAGGGCAGAATTTTGCACACTTGTCTTTATTGTATTTTGTAAATTTCCTGCCAGCTCCAGCCTCGCAGTTTGCCTGTGTACCTCTGGATGGTAGCACCACTATGGGACCAGTGAGATAATGCCAAAAAAAGAAAAAAAGGAAAAAAAAAAAAAAGGAAGAAAGAGAAACAAAGAAGAAAATAAAAAGCAGAAGAGAAGAAAAGAGAAGAAAGGATAAAATAAGAGAAAGAGAAAAGAAAGGGAAAAAAAAAGTAAAGGAAAACAGACAGGAACAAAGAAAAAAGAAATAAGAAAAAAAGAGGAAAAGAGAAAAGGGCAAAGGGAAAAAAGAGGGAAAGGGAAGAAGGGGGAAGGAAGGGGGAAATAAACATATCTTGTTCTTTGCATTGCATGAACTCCCAAACTGTGTTTCTAATTAGAGCTCATTGTCAAGGATATATTTAGCTTGTACCTTGAAACTGCAGATACAAAGTAATCTGTATCCTTATCTGTCTTATGATAGTAGCTTGCAGCAGAAAAGAGTCAAAGCATTTTCATTAAAATGGAATTAAAAATTGGGCTAATTCTAAAGTCTGCATATTAATATTAGAAATGAGTTTGAGTTGATAAAATGATTAATCAATTATAATGCATGGGAAATCTGCCAAGAATACACTAATTTCTTGAAAGAGGAATTAAAAAAAAAAACTTGTCTTGAAGCTGAGTCCTTTCTCTGCATGTCTTCCAGTCGTAAGAGCATCTCACGTGTCTTTGAAACAACCATGCCAAACACACGGACTTGATGCAGCTTTGCAACTTCATACAGTGCTGTGGTCTTGGCCTCTGATATTCCAAAGAGTTTGAGTCTCAGGCTCAGGTCCACTGACAGAGCAGAGAAAATCCAAATAAATGCACAACAAATAGGTGCGTGACTGAGGCACAGCTATTTCTAATGCTGGGCAGCTCCTATCTTCTAAACGACAGAATTTCTGCAGTTAGGAGCCATAGAGGCTCTCCTTTCCCTGAATCTTACCATCTGTGTGGTAGAAAAGCCCCTCTAGCACACATCAAGAGACTACCATAGCTTTGGGTCTTAGCACGATCTCATGTCACTTTGGTCAAGCGTTTCATTTGAAATTAAAGGAGAGAAGTGAAACTTGGAAATGAATCACTTCTGTTTTCTGATCATTGAGCCTGGTTGCCATGGCTCCAAAGGCTAAAATTGGACCATGGATGCTAAGATGAGAGGAAGGTGGGCTTTGCTGAGCTGTACCTTACCCTGCTGCCCAGGTCAGGACTGGAACACCAATGAGCCTCTTCCATTTTCACTGGGAGAGGTATGGAGCTGGTTCAGCTTCAGGTGTGCTGCGGGGAGCAGGCAGGAGAGCCAAGACAGCACCAGCACATGCTGTCCAGTGCAGGTGGCAGCCTACTGCTGCTGTGGGGTGCTCTGACATGCCAGCTTGTCATCTGCCTGTGCAGAGTCATGTCCTAAATCATGTTGGAGGAAGGTGTGAGGAGGTGCAGCCAACCATACGCAGGGGTGCATTGGGCCCAGCACTGCCACCTGGGCAAGGACAGGGATTGTCCTGCTCTGCTCTGCTGTGGTGCAGCCTCACTTTGAGCATTGTGTGCATGTCTGGGCTGCAGTATAAGGACATAGAAGAATTAGAGGGTGTCCAAAGGCAGGCTAAGAAAATGGTAAAAGGTCTGGAGAGCAAGATGTACGTGAAGAACACCTGAGTTCCCTTGGTTTGTTCAGCCCAGAGAAGAGGAGAATGGCGGGCAGCCTACTCCTTGCAGGGAGCAGACTATTAGAGTAGTTTGTACCAAACCTTCCAACATGATTCCTCAGCCTGGTCTAACTGCTCATTTGCTGATACTCTCATCCACTACACCCCTTAAAGACCTCCTGCATTCCTGATGGCTTCACACACAAGCAAAGGCAGCTCTTCCTGTTCCTTTTCTCTCCTTCTCTGAGCCTGAGCTACAACTGAGCAGTCCTCCTGTACTCCTTCCACAGTTAATTCTAGTGGGATTAATTCTGGGGACAGAGATTAGTGAAGAGTGCTTCTTTCTACTCACTCTGTGCCAGACCAACACCCACTCCAAAAATCTCAAGATCTTGGAGATCTTTATGGCTTTCCTCAATCCTCATTCAGTCTTGACTGGGAAGCTTTCCCTCTTGCAAAGTAAGGCTCTTCCTTTTCTTTCTTTCTTTCTCTCTTTCTTCCTTCCTTCCTTCCTTCCTTCCTTTCTTAATGTAAACCATTTATTCTTAAAATTTCTATCTAGAAATAAAATGTAAGCAGAGCTGTGCGTTAAGGCCAGAGGAGAGGATGTCTGCAGAGAAGTGAATCTAGAAAAGCCAGGCATGGGTACTTAGTTTTATGGTGAACAGGATAGCATGTTGTTTCATGGAGATGCCAAGTAAATAAAAACAGGCATAATTTCTTGCTCTCTAAAGCCACTAAGTTTGTCTTATGACACTGTGAGCGGTTAAAGCATCAAAAGGTAGTGGAAACAGAGAATGTAAATTGCTAAATATTTCTGCTTCCACATGAAAAGGAGCACTGCTCCCCTAACCAGCTCCTCCAGGGGCAGGAAATGTGGTCATCTGAAATGAAACCGCTTTGGACTTACCCCTGCTGCTTCGTTGCCAAGAATCGCCGCAGCTCTTTCCTGGTTCATGTTCAGCTGAAGCCAGACAGGGCAGGTCTTGATAAGTTTATCAAGGATGCTGACTCCTGACAGCGAGAGGCAGTTTCGTAGGGAAGTGGCCTGACAGAGATGTGTCTCTTTCCCCTCTTCGCTGGTATCACTGCTGGGGCTGGAACAGAGAAAGGGAGACCCTCGTAAAAGAAGAACTGCAGATGGGAAACTCTGGGGGAGAAAGGACTACACACATAAACACACAGATACTACACACCACACAAATACACACACACACAGGGCACTTAACAACCAGAGAGCTCCTTGAGGGGCATCAGACAAAAGATGTCTCATTTTGATAGAGGCAGACTGGGCACAGGGCAGACAGCCCTGACAGACAGATGAGCCCCATCTGAATGAATACAGCCTCAAGCTAGTGATGCACGCTGCCTTTCAGACCACAGGTTTGCAGAGTGCTTTCTGCTTCCATCTGTGGGTTTCAGCTCATCTGCATGCCTCATCTGAGCAAGGTACCAGCAGCTCTCACTTTCTGGCAGCCCTGCTTTGCTCACAGCCAGGCTGCCTTCAGGTAATCTGCAAAAAGGCAGACCAAGACATCTATCTCACTGTTTAAATCAGCAGCGAGCGCTCCCTGCTCACATTGCTGAGGCTGTGCTGGTCAGAACGGCTGGTGGCCACAGAGATGTGTGTGTCCCTGCCACTTATTCTCAACTATGTGCGAGACATTAGAATACTGAAATTTCACTGTTGAGAATACTAAAGATGTGGGATGTGCTGTCGTTTAGATTTCTGTTCTGAACAGAAAGACAGGGAATTAATTCAGTTTTCAGTCCCTATGGTTTAATGGCAAAATGACATAAAATGCTGATTTCCAACACAAAGTTCCACAAAGTATTTATACATGTGCTTAACACTGCAGGCAGGTCTGAGATTTCTGCTGGATGAAGCTATAGATTCATGCATATGGCTCATCATTTATGTAAGTAATTGATTGTGAAAGTAAAGAAAATGGAGAGAACATACACATAGTATCATGTTTTCTGCACCAGTTTTGCTGCTTATATGCAAGAGCTAGAAAGAGCAGGACTCTCACTTTTGATTTGCTGTTATTTCAAGACTTATTCATGTTCCTTTTTTTTTTTTTTTTTTTAAGATACAGATCTTAAAGTAGTACATTTAAAGTGAGGTCAGACTTGATCTACTGAAAGAGTTCCTTCAAAGGCTCAATGTACCACAGCATGCTTGTCCCAAATTTTACCTTTTATAAAAATAGCCTTTCAAATCCCAAATCTTATTTTTAGTAGTTTTTTTCTTAGAAAATGTATGCTTCTCTTGCAATCCCAATTGCTGATTCAGGATATTAGTCCACCCTCTTGACTTTAATCAGTTCATTTTCAATGTCAAGGCAAAGACAATAATACAAATGAGAGAACTATCTCCCATTCTTTAAACATCAAGCACTTAAAAAAACACAAATAGAAATAAGTCAAATGCTTTCTTTTTGCTTGTGATAAAAGTCAAGTAGGTGAGGAAATTTCCTTTATATATGATAGAACATGATTTTAAACAGTATAATCTGAGCAAGCAGTAAAACAGTGGAGGAGAGCTTTCAGAAGGAAAGTTTTGCCTCTTGCTTTTCTTTTCTTATAGCACAAACTAAAGGAAACATCTAGTAACCATACAAAAGAAATGTGCTAGATGGCAACATTCATACTTGGTAATGGGTAAGAAGTAACAAGCTGAAGGAAAACAAAGGTGAGATATAGAGAAATGTGCCATAAGGTTGTTATACAAAACTGCTCCCTGTATTAGTCACCCAGTTGTGAATCTGATCTTGCCAATGATGTGTGAAACACAAGGCAGAAGGAAGCTGGTGCTGGTAATGCCCTGCTATGTCAGCAGGAGGTGACATGCATTGCACCAGCTCCAGTGATGCTGAACTTCATTACCCTTTGACCATGTAATGGGAAGAGGACCAGCAAAGCACCAATACTCAGGAATACCATCATCTGGTGGGAATCGAGGGTATCAGCAAAGGCTGTGAAATAACCCAGAGCAGCTCAGACTTGGAGATGAGCTCATGGCCTTCCCCGTGGGAAAACCCAGCCTTGATGTGGGCAGAGGAACCCACACCCCTGCCAAGTGCATGGACTGGTTGGGGTCCTGCTCACAGCACCAACGTGGTCTTGGCAGCCAGAACAACAGACCTGGGAGGAAAAATAACAGAGCTGAACTCACAAAGCATGAGGTTGCACATAGGGCTCATCATCTAAGCGTTAGAGAACAGATGAGAAATAGAAAAGCATTCTAAACTTGACATCTAGAAAGTTGAATGGTCAGAAAATATTTGTGTTAATACATTGCATGGTTTGAGTGTTGGGATTTTCAGTGCAGATAATTAAAGGTGGTGGATGAGGCTTTTTGGCAGAACAGGAACTCAGCCTTTTGGGGGCCCTCAGGGAGGAGAATCCTTTTAGGGGGGAATCTGGCCCTCGGAATCCAGCCCAGCAAAGAAGGAAGGATGCAGGCTGTGATACCTATGCAGGAACATCCCACCAAAATGGAGGCTGTAACAAAGGGAAAGTAAAAAGAGTAATTAATGGAGTCATATTAAAACAGAGAAATGTCGGGCTAGATGCTTCCTGACAGTGAGTTAAAACAGATGATGGATAAGTTCCCAAGAGAAGGAGGAGAGAAATGCATTGCCCAGGTCTCTTAAAACACCATGCTTAGAGCACTAGCAAACACTCTATTGAGCCAAATCCTGTGCTGGTTAAGAAATGGGAATGAGTGACTGAACAGACCTTTTTCAGCTGTAATGCCGTGACCCCTGACACACCAGTTGATGCAGTTACAGCACCAGACTTCTTTCCTGGGTACAGCTGTCACAAAGATCCAGATGCCAGGCTGTGGGAGTGCTTAATCCACCAATTTAATCTGGCTCTGTGGTAGCTCTGGTAGCTGCAGAGAGAAGAGGGAACATGGGCAGCTCCCAGGTTCTTGCTGTGCTGCCAGTTGAAGGGATTTGTGGGGCTGTTGCAGTGAGCAGCCAGCTTTTGCTTATTTCTCTCAGATTTCACTCGTTGGATGATTTCTAGGCTCACAGTTTCAAGAAATAACACAGTGTGTGTTAACTCCCTCCTTCTTCTCCTACCTTCCCAGTAAACCCTTTAACTGATACAGGTGCTGGCTTCTGTTACACGATGTGAAGCTGACCCTAGAGCTGCTGGCTTTTCATTCCTTTTTTGAGTTCTTACTGCAAAGTACTTTGAAATCTTGTAGCCACTCTGCAAAATGAACTCAGCTGGGACACAGGAAACTGCGTGTTGCATACTGATTGGCAACACAGATTAATTAATTGCACAGTGATTATATTCACACACCTGCCCAAGTTTGGCAGAAGGAATCAGGTTGCTAGGTTCTAAGTAATCATAATGACAATGGTGATTTGAATTACTGCACAGTGACTGTGCACTGAAATGGCTATTGTTTTAGAAATGAAGAGCCACACTTGCCAGCTGAATAATCCTAGAAATCATTAGAATTGCAAGGGGATACATTTCACCAAATTTCATGCAGATCTGGGCATGCCTTTGCAAGGGACTTCAGAGAAAGTTGCTGATGCTTTTGGCACCATCGTCTTCCTGGCTGCACTGTGTAGGCCTGGTCACTCTGCACTGCCCAGGGGCAGCTGCAATGCACAGAAGCTGTGTGCAATAGCAGTGGGAGCTGTCAGATGAGCTAGATCACAGTTTCCATCCATGTGGATGTATGGAACACGTTCACTTTTGTGAAAACTGCAAGTGGAGCAACACTCTTTGCAAGGAACACAGGAGCTGAAGGAGGAAAAGCTAGAATTTCCTGAAGCAGACACACCAGGCATGGTGGAAGCAGACAGACAGCACTGGTAATTCCTTTGGCTGAAAGAGAGAGCTGGGAGCAAGAAGCTTCATGGAAAGTATCATGATGGTGCTGAGATTACACGACTAAAAATACTGAGAGAAAACTCACAGCTCCATTTTATGCCATGTTCATAGCCAACCCAGCTGGACTCAGTTACAGAGCTCTGCACCACTGGTGATAGAAACAGATTATTGTATTCCTTTATTTCATAGTCTCCTTCATGCTGAAAAGGGTATGAAGTTCTAAACCTAACCCATCAGAGAAGGAATTGTCAGAGTTATAAGAGCAGCAGCAAGAAAGTGCATTAAGGTTTCCTCACTAGACCTATGCTACATACATAGCTACCCATTCTTGGTTTAATATTACTTCTGGTTAAATAGAATCATTAATATTCTTCATTCTGACAACTGTGAATTCATGTGCTGCTACTTTCAGTTTACTGAGGAGGGAGGAAAATTATGCAGTGCTCAAGCTAACAGACATAAATCTTTATTTTACTTCTATCTTAGATGTAGTCATTTATCAGTGCCTTCCCTTCATTCTCATAAGGCAGCCAATCTTTGCTTCTGTGATCAGTTTAGATCAAAGTAACCCAAAATGGAAGAGAGAGATTCATTTAATTTATTTAATTTATGGGCCTTGCTTAATATTTTACCTACTTCCCAAAAGCTGATAGGATGGAGGTCAGGATCCAATGTAGAACTTCTTGAGATATTTTGTCACAAAACAGAGTACTAAGAAAATAAGCGGGCCAAAAAGTGATCCATGGAAAGTCCCACAGCACAATAACTAACCTTATCCACTAAATGCAGACATTCAGACTTCACTAACACTTCTTTCATAAAAGAACCAAAATACCAGACACGTATTAAAAAAAATCCACAATACAAATGAAACAGCCAAAAAGCAGTGAGAGAGGAAAGTTCCTGAGCTGACTGCCACTCTTCAGTTAAAAATAAAAAATCATTTCCTCTTAGGTTTGCAATAGATGAAGAAAAGATGTAGGCAGGTAAGCAAATTACAGGAGGTTCCTGCATTGCATAGTTCTAAGAATTGGATAATGGAAGTGACGAGATGCTCAGTGTGTCCTGTGAAGCAGGCTTTGCTCCATACCTTGCAGAGCACTGTGTTACCAGTCCACCTTGGTATTGCCTGCGTAGCTCAGGAAGCAGTGCTTCTCAAACTGTGGTCTGCGGACAGCCTGTGGTTGGCAGAGCACTTCCTCTTCTCACTGCTCTCCTTGTTTCCACTCCA